AATCGAATTTTTCCTGAAATTCGTATCGAATTTCGGTTCGCCTGGTTCGATTCGCTCATCTCTAGATATAAGGTACTATTTCTTCCACTGACACAACAACAATGGGGCACTATTTCTCCACTGACGCCAATAATGGGGCACTTTTTCTCCCACTGACACCAACAATGGAGCACTATTTCTCCCACTGACACCAACAATGGAGCACTATTTCTTCCACTGATACCAGTGAAGGTGTACTGTTCCTCCCACTAATACCAATGAAGGGGCACTACTCCTTCTCCTACTGACCACACCAACCCCGAGGCCATGTTTATTCTCACTGATGCTGGGCCCAGGACATTTTCTACTCCAACTGGCTACAATCGAGGCCCCCCTAAAATCTGAAGGACAGTAAACTGGCCCTTTGTTTGAAATGTTTGGAGACCCCTGTTATAGGCTGAAAAATGCACAAAAAGGCAAATTTGTAAAGTAAATGTGATTTTTTTTTTTATCCTACTAATCACACCAAACCTGAGGCCATGTTTATTTTCACTGATGCTGGGTCCAGAACATTTTCTACTCCAACTGGCTACAATCCAGCCCTCCTAAAATCTGAAGGACAATAAACTAGCCCTTTGTTTGAACTGTTTCGAGACCCCTGTTATAGGCTGAAAAATGCACAAAAAGGCAAATATGTGAAATAAATGTGTTATTTTTTTTAACCTACTGACCACACCAACCCCAAGCCCATTTTTATTCTCATTGATGCTGGGCCCAGGACATTTTCTACTCCAACTGGCTACAATCCAGGTCCCCCTAAACTTTGAAGGACAGTAAACTGGCCCTTTGTTTGAAATGTGTTCGAGACCCCTGTTATAGGCTGAAAAATGCACAAAAAGGCAAATATGTAAAATAAATGTGTTATTTTTTTTAACCTACTGACCACACCAACCCCAAGGTCATGCTTATTCTCATTGATACTGGGCCCAGGACATTTTCTACTCCAACTGGCTACAATCCGGGCCCCCCTAAACTCTGAAGGACAGTAAACTGGCTCTTTGTTTGAAATGTTTGGAGACCCCTGTTATAAGCTAAAAAATGTACTGTACAAAAAGGCAAATTTGTAAAATAAATGTGTTATTTGTTTAATTAATAAATTGATTATTATTTTAATACTGTAATTGCAACTGATAATTACAATAAGAAGCAGATGTCTTTTGCAATCTTATGGCCACAGTGCCATTTGGAAACAACAGTCCCTCTTTAGGGTCTGATATAATGGAGCTCTACAACTCAGTGTACACACCCCGCAGCCAGCAAGAACTCGAATCCCAAAAATTCATGTTTCCATTATAAGCAATAAAGCCGGCCATACATGGGTCAAATTCCGAAAGAAGTTTCTTTAGAAAATCTTTTCTAAGAATTTTCGTTTGAATTTCTCACCATTAGTGGGTCATAGAAACTGACGATTTTTGTGTAACCATCAAATTTTAGTGATCGGGCATGTTGGAAATTTTTTGAAGAACGAATTTCGAATCAATAATGGGAGAATTGTGTGAGAAATATAAACGAAAAAGAATTGAGCTTTGACCTGGAAAGAAAAGAAAATTCTTGGCCACGAAAATTATTTTCTGTAGCAACATGAGGTGAAACTGAAGGCTTGCTTGGTTGAGTATTGCAATCAATGGTGGCACCATCAGATTACAAAACGCACGAAAATTCCAATTTTCTAAAGAAAATTAGTATCTTATGTAAATAAGTGTGAGAAAGTAACACTGGGTTTTAAATTGCTTTCCTTGAGAAGTACTTTGAATGATCTGTTTATCTAAGTGGAAATGCACTTCCTACTCTCCCGCTCCAGTGCTCAGTGCTGGCATGTATATGTAATTTCCAAACCCCTCATCCTAGGTGTCCCCACATAGCCTGTTAGTGCTGGGGGACAGGGAGCAAGTCTGAGCAGAGACGGTGGTGTCTGACTAGATCTGATAACAGAATATAATGAGCAGAGTCAGGGGTGGACTGACCATTTGGAAACTTGGGCACTGCCCGAGGGCCCGAGGTCAGTAGGGGGCCCCATGAGATGCCCCTGGTACCTTTTTCATAGGCTTTTTTGAGTTTGGGCAAGGACACAGAGGCCCCATGATCCCATATTGCCCGGGGGCCCCATGAGCAGGGGCAGACTGAACATTTGGAAACTCGGGCACTGCCCGAGGGCCCGGGGTCAGTAGGGGGCCCCATGAGATGCCCCTGGTATCTTTTTCATAGGCTTTTTTGAGTTTGGGCAAGGACACAGGGGCATCATGATCTCCTATTGCCCAGAGGCCCCATGAGTTGTCAGTCTGCCCCTGCCCATGAGTTGTCAGTCCGCCCCTGAGCAGAGTGGTCACACTCCGGCATCTATTGAACAGAGCAGCCATGAAAGGAAAGCGGATGTAAGACTATGAAATCAGAAGCCAATAAGACAGTATCTGTAAAGCCCCATACACACGATGAGAATATCAGACGAATGATCGTCGATTTTTTTTTTGCATGCTAGTCTTATATTGAAAGTGTAGAGGTTACTAAAGCTACAAAAATTCTTGTACGACAGAAAGAAAATTCAAAAGTGATGTAATATATTTGTTGTATTTTCGGATGAAAACTGTACTGATTAAACAAAAATTGTACAATCTGGTATCGTACGAGAAAAATGTTCGTGCTTGTCCCTTCAAATGATTTTGGACGAAAGCCGTGTACTAACGATCAGATTATCGTACAATTGCTTAGAAAGCGGTGTTGTTCGTACAATTTTCTGGACTTAAGGGCCGGTTCACACCATAGAAACACAGTCCAGATGCATTCCAGATGCGTTTTTGTAAGCACGTTTTTTTTACACATTCTGGTATGTTTTTGATGTATTTTTGATTCGTTCCAGTTCATTTTTTCCCCTCTCTTTTTCCTCAACCTTAATAAAGACATGTGTGTTATTTATTTATATATTTCAGGTACTTATATAGCGCCGTCAATTTACGCAGTGCTTTACATATATATTGTACATTCACATCAGTCCCTAACCCTCAAGGGGCGTACAATCTAATGTCCCTAACTCACATTCATACATACACATACTAGGGCCAATTTAGACAGGAGCCAATTCACCTACCAGCATGTCTTTGGAGTGTGGAAGGAAACCGAAGTACCCAGGTGAAACCCACGCAGGCACACGGAGAACATGCACTTCATCTTCTACTTTTTTTTTCTAGAAAGCACTGGAACTGACCGCACTGGTGTGAACTATGCCACTGGAAACCATGTAACTTACTATCAATGCATTTTTGATGCAGAAAAAAAAAACCACACTGGACTGCATGTGGTGTGAACTGGCCCTGAATAAGAACATGTGCGTTTCGGTGTGTTTTTTTTATGCGTTTTGTGTTCCAATGCAGTTCAGTGCAGAAAAAATGCAGCATGTTTATATTGTAAAGCACTGAGAAAAAAACTGTTGGTGCTATATAAATCCTGTATAATAATAATAATAATAATAATAAACATTTTCTACTTTTTTTTTTTCTGGAACTAGAATGCACTGGAACTGACCACACTGGTGTGAACTATGTGAATGGAAACATGTAACCTACTATCAATGTATTTTGATGCAGAAAAAAAAAGCACACTGTGCTGGATGTGGTGTGAGCTGGCCCTAAATAAGAACATGTGCATTCCGGTGTGTTTTTGGTGTGTTTAGGTGCGTTCCGATGCATGTTATATGTATTTTACTGCGCTCCAGTGCAGTTCAGTGCAGAAAAAATGCAGCATGTTCTACTTTTTTTCTGGAACTGGAATGCACTGGAACTGACCAAACTGGTGTGAACTATGACACTGGAAACCATGTAACCTACTATCAATGTGTTTTTGATGCAGAAAAAAAAACCACACTGGACTGCATGTGATGTGAACTGGCCCTAAATAAGAACATGTGCGTTCCGGTGTGTTTAGGTGCATTCCGGTGCATTTTTTTATGCGTTTTACTGCATTCCAATGCAGAAAAAATTCAGCATGTTCTACGTTTTTTTCTGGAACTGGAATACACTGGAACTGACTGCACTGGTGTGAACTATGCCACTGGAAACCATGTAACCTATTATCAATGTGTTTTTGATGCAGAAAAACACAACACACTGGACTGCATGTGGTGTGAACTGGCCCTAAATAGAACATTTGCGTTCCGGTGTGTTTTTGGTGTGTTTAGGTGCATTCCAGTGCATTTTTTAAGCGTTTTACTGCGTTCCAGCACAGTTCAGTGCAGAACAAAATGCAGCATGTTTTACTTTTTTTTCTGGAACTGGAATACACTGGAACTGACCGCACTGGTATGGAACCATGCCACTGGAAACCATGTAACCTACTATCTATGCGTTTTTGATGCAGAGAAAAAAAAATGCACTGGACTGCATGTGATGTGAACTGGCCCTTACTCTCTTCCTCCCATTCAGCTCTAAGGCCTGCTTCACACCAAAGGTGCTTTTAGTGCTTTTTGCATTAATGCACTACATTCCATCTAACATGGTTTCCTATAAGACATGTTCACACCTATGCTTTTTTGAGCTGCTGTGTTTTTGGAAAGGGTCTGGGATTTTTTAAATGTAAAAAGCAGTGTTTTAGCTACAATAGAGTTCAATGGAGAAGCTGCTGAAACGCATGTAGTGCATACTTCACTATGGAATACCTTTATCTCTTAGATTGTAAGCTCCAAGGATCAGGCCCTCCTAACCCTCTTGTATTGAAATGTATTGTTGCTGTATTGTCTCCCATTATGTTGTAAAGTGCTGAGCAAACTGTTGGCGCTATATAAATCCTGTATAATAATAATAATATAATAATTTTATGTGAGCACAATACAGAAGTGGATGGGATCGTGATTTAAAGGGTCAGATCACAACATGTGGGAACTTATTCACTTACGTTTGAGTACCTTAGAAACAAATATCTGCTGCTGTGTTGGAAGGAGAGGTGTCAAGAAGGAGTCCAAAATTTAGGGGAAAGGCATTTGAGACCTAAAAATACACATGTCCAATTATGGAGGTGAGCACAGTAGTGAATGGTGGTGGGTATCACCATCAGGGGCGGACTGACCATATGGAAACTCGGGCACTGCCCGAGGGCCCAGGGTCAGTAGGGGGCACCATGATATGCCCCTGGTACCTTTTTCATAGGCTTTTTTGTTTGGGCAAGGACACAGGGGCCCCATGATCCCCTATTGCCCGGGGGCCCCATGAGTTGTCAGTCCACCCCTGATCACCATGTATATTTTTGTGGGGGATAACAAGAGGTGGAATGCAGTGATATACTGTATGGTGCAGTTGGAAAAGATATCCACGTCATATGCATGGACATTTCATAATATTTTTATTTTTCATTCACTGTTTCAGATTTATGGACTTTTTTGATTTATTATTGTGTGATATATTATTTATGGAGATGAAAATATTGGTTTAAATAATTTATTGGTAGGTGCAGCAATATATTCTTTCACTTTGTTTCTATTGGTTATGGGAAAACAATTTGTGGCAGCAGCCACTCTATACACATGCATATATGTTTTATTGTTAATATATCATTTGCACACATATTGGATTGATCATGTTATACTGTATATTTGTATTGATTTTCTATAATAGAGGCACGGGATACATGTATTTATCATTGAAGCATGACCAAAGCAGAAGGGCTTAGGGCCCAGGGCTCTGGTCTGCAAATATTTTATCTGTGCCTATTGTCTGTTCCATTTACAGGCAGTTCCAGGGCTTTTCTTTCTCCGAGAATAGGTGCATCTATTGCCTCCTTCTGAGTCACTCCTTTTGTCCGCCCCCTACCCACCACCGAGCACTGTCCCTTGGTTCCATCCCCTACCGACCTGCAAGTACTACCCTTTCTAGGGACTACATAACCAAGTATCATTTTGTGGTAACAAGAAAAGCAGTAAAATAGGTCCCATTCAGCCAGCAACAATAGACCCATCTGCAGCTAGCAGCAATAGATCTTCCCTGAAACAATAGACCCCCCCCGCAGCAAAATACCCCCCAGTAACAGTAGACCATTAGCCCACCCCTCAACAGTAAATCTCTCCCATCAACATTATCCACCCCCCTCAGGAACAATAGATCCCCCATCAGTAACAATAAACCTCTCCAGCAACAACAGTCCCCCAGAACAATAGTCCCTCCCCCCCCCACAAAAATTGATCCCCTAGCTGCCAGCAGCGATAGACCCTCCAGCACACCTCACCACCTCTTGCCATTACATACATCCAGTGCTGGAGGTGCCGGAACAAGGGGTGTCCCTAGGCAGGTCCTGGGGGTGTGCGCCGCACCAGGTGACACGTATCGCACGGAGTGACACCGGACCTGCTCCACGAAAGGTCCGAACCATTATGCTCCCCAATCCACAGATCCGATCCATCTTGCGGGGATTGTTGGCTTGCTTTAAAACTTACTGTCAGGAATCTAGGAATGACCAGAAAGGTGTGGACTGACACAGGGAAACGCAGGTCTCAGGTACAGTATAATACAGTTTATTAGCCACCCAGATATATATATATATATATATATATATATATATATATATATATATATATAAACGCACAGTGAGCAAACCAACCTTCCACTAATCTTAGGAGGTGCAGGAATACAGGCGTAGTCAGGGCTGGAGAGGTGGAACGGTCAGGCCGGCCGTAGGGTTCTGTAATGACCGTTTGGTGGTACCTCTTGCGGTCCTCAGGACAGGATTCCCCAGGGCGCGGAGTCTAAGTCCCAGTCTGCTTATTCACCAGGGCCCCTGATGGTGGGGATGGACTTGGAGCAGACAGGAACCAGGTCGCGGCCCCTGAGTACACCTGCTAGTGGTAGAGGGATCCGCCAGAGGTATGTGCAGGTAGAAAGCCTGATGTGAAGAGGCAGAAGGTGTGAGCAGGGACGGCTGGATCCGTGCAGGATGGATGGATGGCAGAGTAGTTAGCGTGGTCAGACAGGCCAGGTCAGCAATGTGCGGGCAGCAAGGTACCAAAGGAGCAGGCAGAGAATGGTCAGGGTCACAAGCCGGGTTCAGTAACTCACGGGCAGCGCGGTACAGGGGATCAGGCAGAAGGATGGTCAGGCAAGCCAGGGGTTCAACAGGAGACGGTCAGCAGAGGTCAGGATCAAGCAGGGTCAGCAACGAAGCAGGAACACAGGATACCAGGTACAGAGGCTCATGGGAAAACATACACCAAGGCCCAGAGCACAGGCCTGGTCATGCCTTAAATACACCTTTCTGCAATCAGCCCCAGGTTTGGCTGATTGCAGAAGTGAGCTTCTGGCTGCTGAGAGCACCCGCTGGTCAGCTCTGGTACTGCAGCCCACACGGCAGGTGAGTCCCACCACCAGTGCTGAGTCCATTCCTGACACTTACCTTTTCATGGCAAGATCAGTTAACCCCGTATAGGTTGCAAGCCGACGATCCCCGCAGGATGGATCGGATCTGCATATTGGGGAGGATAATGGATCAGACTCTGATCCATTTTGCTCAATCCGCAGATCCAATCCATCCTGTGTGGATCATCGGAGGGGGGGGTGTCACTAAGTGTTACCGCACCGGGTGACACCAACCCTAGGGACGCCCCTGGATGGAACTACGTTCCCCCAGGTTCCCATTGAAAAAAGCCCTTGGCAGCTCTATACCTCATTGTTATTGAATTGGATCTCGTGTCCCTCAGAGGATTTTCAGAACAATTTTCTAGTAGAAAATATCAAGTACAAAAATCCAGTTTTTTTTTACATTACCAGCAGTGCAAGCCAATACAAAATCAACAAAATAATGTTCCTATGCAGTTAAAACATTGTGTGTTTGCACCACCTAGTGGACATACTTTGCACAAACAGCAATCAGTTTACATTTATTGATTTTTTTTTTTTTTTTTTGGATTGCCACATTCCACAGTGCAGCACAGAGAACCAGTCATGTCACACCCTGTCCCAGTGGAGCCTCCTTTATAATACATAAATGTCACAGGCTGCTGGGACAAGATCTGGACAAAGATCTTCCTACATCCTCATGCAGAAAATACCAGTAGTACTATGTAGCCTTAGGACACCTAATCCCTAGCGCTTTCACTGCCAGAGCCATTTTTGCATTTTTTTGCAAACATGTTTAAAAAATAATTTTAGGCCTGAAGATCGCATAAACCCCCATTATATATTTTCTGAAAGCAAACACCCTAGAGAATAAAATAGTGGTAGTTTCAAATTTTAATGTCACATGATATTACCACAAAGGTCTAAGAAATGTAAAATATCAGTAAAAAAATACACAAAAGTTAATTTTAGGGCACACGAATGCAATAAATTACCCAATTTTTTTGTAAAATATAAAAGATGAGGTTTCACTAAGTAAATAGATGCCCAAAATGTCAAACTTTAAATTTGCATGTGCCTGTGAAATGGCAACAAACTTCGGTACCTTTATATTTTTTTTTTTGAACCAGAAAATGTTTCTAAGAAAACTTATGCATGTAACAACATACATGAAAAACAAAAATAGATGTACCACCTATAAAAAAATTTTTTTTTTTAAATATATTCTTCAGATTTTTTTTAACATATAAAAAAGTCATTTTAACATATATTTTTACATGTATTTTTAAATGCATTCCAAAAATGTAGATTTGTATTTTTAAAGACATACAGTATATTTGAAATGTATTTTTAAAAATATTTTTCATATATTTTGTAATAAAAACGCATTTCAACACACAGTATATATATATATATTATATATATATATATATATATATATATATATATATATATATATAATATATGGCCAAAATTGTAGCATTTCAAATATGTCAATATAATTGGGAAGAATATTTTTGAAATATATTTCAAATATATTTTTCTTCCATATGGGGGGGATCGGTTCCAGTAATTGCCCCTCCCACCATAACAATCACCCTCCCTGCCCACATCCATTTCTCCCAGCTGCCTTGTCCCCCATGCTGGCCTTGGCCCTGTACAGGAGGACTGGCGGTACCCCCTTATCCACAGCCCTGCACACAGGGTAAAATGGCAAATAAAGGTTAATTTCCCACATCTGTGGCTTTTTATATTTGTTTTACTACAAGAGCTAGGAGATAGCAGATTACACAACAGTGTAAAATTGGCCTGCAGGCAGGACAATTTTAAAGAGCAAGGCTAGGACACATGAATGAGGCTAGGACAAATTAAAAATGTTTCACATATATGTAAAAATCAGCATTTTTTTTGCTAGAAAATTACTTAGAACTTCCAAACATTCTATATTTTCTGAAAGCAGAGGCCCTGTAGAATAAAATGGTCGTTGTTTCCATTTTTTTATGTAACACAATTTTTTGCACATTTATCAAACACACTTTTCCAGGAACTAATACACTTAAATGTAGTTTAGTGCACACAAACAAAATATTATACCCATTTTGTACCTACGTTACCTAAAAATCTGCATAGGCAATGCTTTAAAAGTCTTTACAGGTTACCAGTTCAGCGCTAATCATCTTATAGAATCTCTGTGTTGACGGTGACTGTGACTTTTCCCAGAGAGTAGAAAGCTACACACAGTCACCAGCCCTCCAACATTGGGGTCATTTACTCACACAGTCACAAGATCATTGGATGCCTCCATCCAATATCCACCAGGCTCTTCTTAGTGAGGGAGATGCAGGCTCACACTACTATAGGACAGCTGGACTTTCTTCCACCAAACTTTCTCCTGGTCCTCTCCAGTGAGATCCTCCGGACCCAACTTGATTCCAGGACTAATCTTGTGAATAGGCCCCCCAGCTAAACCATAGCTGGGACCTCAATATCTTCTTAATGGCAACTCTTGCACTCCTGCCCCAGGGGGAAGAGACGCTACACAGGGGTCTATTCCAGCAGGACTGGAACCAGGAACTCTCTGCCCCTGGCTCAGGCTTTAGACTCTTTATTGGCTCTCCAACCACCTACTGGGCACATCACCCCAGGGAGTCCCATAAATATTCAGGCTGCCTACTCTGTTCTTCCTTCAACTATAGTTCTAGAATCCTCTAGAATA